CTAATCTCTCATTTCCTCTTTTATGAGCTGAACGTCTTTCAAAAGGGAAGCATAGTAATGGCAGCTGCTCATTGAAAAGGCATCACATCCGTGCTGATCTGGATACATTTCTTTTTATTATTTCAACAGCATAGCATAAGGAAAAGGGGAAAAACATAAAATTAAACAAAAGAAGCATGAACTGAACTGACTGCAGGACCTTCCAGGCCGGCGACGGTGACAAAACAAGACAAGCGAAGGGGCTTGAGGTCACTGAAGCACCTGCTTTGGAGATGGCAGGGGGGGGGGGGGGGGGGGGGTTGAGAATTTCGTAAACGCCCACTGGAGTTCAAAAGTCAATCAAAAACACGCACAAACCAGCAAGTCTTCCACCCAAAGTGCAAACCCAGAGTTCAGAGCACCCTTTTCGCCGTAGGAACAGTCTCAGATATCGGAGCACCTGGAACCCCGGTCCCTCCAAAGGCAGCTGACACTACAAATACTCAAAAGTAACTGGAAGCTCTACGAGAAACAAAAATAAGACCGGTGGCAACAGAATCGAACCCTGAAACGACTAAAACATTGAAATCCATATCACAGTGTGGGTGAATAACCAGCGTCCACATCATAGATGGAATCACTGCACAGGAGGGACGTTTATCCCGGTACAATCAATTTGACTGTTTCTGAGGTCCTAGCACATCCTTAATATACATTCTTACACGTGATATGCTGATCTAGGCAATGGTTTGTGTGTTTTTGCCTCCTTTGGATATGCAGCTGGGTCGTGAGAGGAAAAAAAAGCTGTAAGCAAGGACAAAACTTTAAAAGTGTCCCAAAATCCCCTCAAAGGAAGTGTTAAAATAAGGAAGAAAATGAAAGAAAACGCAGCTCGACAGTAAGCGTGTTGGATATTTCGACAGTGCCGATTATAAAAAGAAACAAAATTACTTGAAATTATAGTTTTCTGGAGGGTTCAAGAAAAGGGGTTTTGTTGTGAAAAACAAAAATAAACCCAAAAGTAATTGTGACTCATTTGAATACATATTCAGCAAAAGGATCATTGTAATAATTGCTTTTTGTAGCTACATTTGTTTTGCCTCCAAATGTCCAAGCTGGTGAGTGAAGGAGGATCTACATTTTATAATTTGAGGTAAGCCAAGTCAGGCCCTCGTATAGTCCATCCCCCGTTGTCGCACACGAGGGCTGAACGTACCAATTCCTATCTCTGATCCGGGTCAGGCCCAACTTCTCCTGGATCTCGTGGGGTTTCATGGCATCTGGGAGGTCTTGTTTGTTGGCAAAAATCAGGATGATGGCATCCCTCATCTCCCGGTCATTGATGATTCGGTGGAGCTCCTGCCTGGCCTCGTCGATGCGGTCCCTGTCGGCACAGTCCACCACAAAAATGAGGCCCTGGGTGCCTGTGTAGTAATGTCTCCAAAGTGGTCTGATCTTGTCCTGTCCACCCACGTCCCAAACGTTGAACTTCACATTCTTATAGGTGACGGTCTCCACGTTGAACCCGACCGTAGGGATGGTGGTGACCGACTGTCCCAGTTTCAGCTTGTACAGGATGGTGGTTTTCCCAGCAGCATCAAGTCCAAGCATCAATATTCTCATTTCCTTGTTGCCGAAGATCTTTGAAAGCATCTTCCCCATCTTCTCTGATGTGCATAAATACTTTGCAGGTTGCAGGGAAAAAAGCAGTACTTCTCTTATATGAGGAAAAAGGTTTTTACTGCAGCTTAAGTGATGCTACTGATGGCTGCACGCGATGGCAGAAGGTGGTCTGACAAGCGTCAGTATTCAAGTTTGTAGAATACAATTATCTGGACTGAGGTAATCTGACCTGAGCGGTTAGTGGAAATGCTGGACGTTGAATCCTGGCAGGTTTGGGTGGGGATGTATTTTCATGATCCACTGCCCTCCAATGTATGAAGAAAAAATGACATCTCTTCAATTCAAAGTTTACTCACAGTCTCTCTTCGCAGATCTCGATTTTCTTCTAATGAATCCAATTACTTTGGGTTCAGCCGGAGACTAAGTAGACTTTTTCTTTAATTAGTGGCTGCAACCAAAAGAGGAAAATACAAATCAGGCCCAGTACAAGCTGGGGGTTCCCACTTCCTTCTTGACTACCGGCTGTCCACACTTGGCCTTAGCTTTTTTTCTTCACCCTGCTCGATGGACCTTCAAAGCACGTTGATTTTTCGACTAAAACATGCTAAGACTGTGTAGCTTCTCCGCTCCGCTTCTGTGCCGGGGAGCCCAGAAGAAGACCGCTAAAGGTCATTGATTCAACCGACTTTCTTCTCTTCCCCCTGTGACACAGGAGCAGCCAGGAGAAGGAAGGGAGGGGTGTTAGTACAGAGGACAACTTTGGATATGACAAAATACAATTTTAGCTAACAGAAACGTTCAAAACAAGCATGTAAAAAAAAACGGAAACTCGATAATCACCTGCGTCTGCGGCGGTCATTCTCTCCAAACCCCGAACCGTCTCTTCCCGCTCTCGCCGCCCTCGGTCTGTCTTCCTCCCCTCTCTCTCTTGTCTCCAACCGTTCACTCGCAGCAGTGGCGGTGCTGTGTTACCGGAAAAGGTGCGGACCCAGCTCACCCGCCACTTCCTCTACAACGCTCACACACGATTGATGCGTTCAAGAACTCCTTCAAACCACGGACATCTGAAAACTAACAAAGGCTGCAGCATTTCGAGCAACAACACGGACAAACACCATCAATCAGTCTTCAACAAAACGACTCCCGTTCACACGTCACAGCGGCTCGAATAATAAAACAAATTGTTATGGGGGGAAATAAAAGATTAGTCGTTATTTATTTAGACATTTTTAATATTTAAAATAATACGTTAAACAAAAAACGGGGTTTAATGTATTTAACTGTTTTGGATCATATAAGTTGTGGTTTAATATAAAAACAGAGTGTTAAATATTTAAAAAGCAACGCAAAGGTGAGAAATCTGCAAGTACCTTTTTCAGATTTTTAAATTTCCCACTACCCGTGAAGGCACTGTACGCCATTTCGCATGCGCGCAACATGACAGCTCATATGCTAACCGGTCCTGGATTTTCATATGACGCCATTTGTGCGTTCATTAAGCATTTAACATTCTCCTGTGTGACATGTGACCCAACATAAACACACTGGACTCTTTGATAACTCAAATTCAGCTAGTTGGTTGATGTAACTAACCGAGGAAGTGGTTTACAGCCGATGTGCCTTATCATTCATTCAAACTGTTTCCACTAGTGTGACGTGGAGGCTGTGCAGGGGGGCTAGTTCCCAGATGTACATGTCGTCGAGCACACAGTTCATTTAAATTATCTATTGACAATAAATAGTAAATCATAGCCTAATCACTTAAAAGTCTATGACCATATCAGCATTATCTTTTTTCTTTACAAAATTCAGTAGCAACATTTTCCCATTGTTTACTTTTGTGTGTGCAGAACTAAAATCTGCTATTTTATAATAAAACCCACATTGTTTACTCTTTTGCAGTAATACATTCACTTTATTTTGAACCTGCATTTGGCTTTGAAACTGTATTTTTTATTCCAATTTTGAAATTTTAGAGAATCTTTAAAGCCTCAAAATGTTGACCAAACAGACTTGAATTTTAAAAGTATAAATTGTTGTATTCCATATGTAGTTTTGTTTGTAATAAATTCTCTCTCTTTATAGATATATATATATATATCTATATCTAGAGAGAGAGAGAGAGAGAGAGAGAGAGAGAGAGAGAGAGAGAGAGAGAGAGAGAGAGAGAGAGAGAGAGAGAGAGAGAGAGAGTAACACATATCTTTTTATTTTATTTTATTTTTTCATTTATTTTTTTACTTTTTGTTCTTTTAAAGGGTCTTTTGATTTTTTTTATCTTTAAACAATTTATTATGTTATGTTGGGTAGGTAGGCGAGACCAGAACCCCTGGACCAGAGCCCTGTAAACCCCTTTTATGCGTGTCTATGGTGATTGGAGTGAGCATGCGCTGTCTCTTCTGCTGTGCTTCCTTCAAACCGATAAGTATGGTAGATAAGGCGCGTTTAGCGCTTGCTCGTCGCTGATTTTCCAGACTGTACAAGTTCCCTGAAATCGTTACAGTGACGTTAACGCTACAGGTAGGAATTTCACCCTCGACATTTTCTATTTTTGTGTAGTCTAGTTCGATTGTGTTGCAATTTACCACTCGGTTAATGCCAATCCACGCTAGTGGAAACCGCCGTCTTTAGCCGGCTAGCTAGCAAAATGGTGCCGACTAATTACTGGAGACGGAAGCAAAGGCTTGGCGTGCATTCTAATTGAACCAGCATGTAAACATTCTCTATATCAAATTTTTCGATAAACGTGGACACAGTGATATATCGAGACCTAAACAGAAACAATATTTGCCTAAATAAATGTCAATAATTGAATAACCACAGCCTTCACAACGCCGCGCGAACGCTAGTAGCTAACTGTGCTACTTTACCTAAAGTAGACAGGCCTAACTTTAGGTTGTACTTTATGCAAAGAACCACACGGATGAATCATGGCTTCACACTAAGCGAGGATCATCGATTTAAACTGACTGCGGTATCCATTTGAGAGTCATTTGTTTACAGGCTACGTCCAGGATCTAAGTACACACAACAGGTCATTAGGATGAACTATTTAGTGGCATGGCTTGTCTTAAAAGTAAAATAGTAACGTGTTCAAAGGTGTTTGAACAGGCGTTGGATTATTTTTAAGTTTTGCGATACATTTCTAGCCTAATAGGGTAGAAATTGAAAGAAATTTTATACCAAAGCATCCGAAACGGGAAACTATGAAACAAATTCCTGAAAGCATATGTCTTGTGACCCTGTTAAATGATTACAAATCTGTCACACATTAAAGACAGCAACTTTGTTTTGCATAACTTTTTTTTGCACTTTTTTGTTGAATCTATTGGTGTGTATCCTATCACTTCATACGTGAAATGGTCGATTCTGGTTAACTATTAAAAATGAAGTTGATAAATTCTGGCAGCAAATTTTGTGACATCCAGTTATTTAAGTCTTTGATTTTTCTGTCTGTAAGAAAGTCTGAAGGTTGGTGAATCTCAAGTAACAAAAATATGTTGTTTTTTCTTTTGAAAAGTGTCTTGGAAGTTGTCAATTTATTGCAGTTATTTTTATTTTTTCTCAATTTTCTAATTGTCATTATTTGTTTATCTCTACAGACCAGAAATTCTCAGATCAATTGTTGGATTAATGCTGGACACTGAGTCCGCTGCCATGGAGAGCAATGGAAATGCAAATCTTCCTGACTTTCCTGTTGAAGGTCAAGCAGCTGAGTGGTCTGCGAGCCACGTTTCTTCAGAACCACAGCCCGCCTTGCCAGGAGACTCTGATGCATCTCGGGATGCTCCGGGACAGGAACAGCAACAAATGAACTGTACAGAGCTGGCATCTGTGGAGAAAGCTGTTGAGCAGTTTCAGCTGGCAAATGCTCAGCTCTTTCAAGAAGAGCACCCACCGCCTCCACCACCGCCACCACCACCCCCTCCGCCTGCAGAAGAAGCAGAACAAGCAGCAGAACCCACTGGGTATCAGCCAGAGGCTGCTGTACAGGTTGAAAGTCAAGGTGAATACAAAACAAAAAATCCTTGATGTGAACTCGTTGGAAACCAAAAAAAAAAGCAAAGAAACAAATGTGGTGTGCAGTTTTTTGTTAGAACAATTTAACAAACGACTAATTTTTGTTACTGTTGTCTAGATGGGGCTGGAGAACAGTTGATGGAGGATGGCATGGAGCTGGAAGAAGCACCCAAAGACAGTGTACAAGAATCTGCTGATCCTGGAGAACCACAGCTGCCCTCTGAGTTTGAAAAGCTCTATAAAGCATGTGAGGATACCCCTGACGATTTTAACGCCTGGGTCACCCTGCTGCAGTATGTGGAGCAAGAAGTAAGGAACTCCAGACCGAGATGTGCTTCAGTTGTCTGTGAAATATGTAATCGAATAAAACATACGTGTTCAGTCACCATCGTGGAATATTAAGCTGATTAACCTGAACATATAAATAATATATTTGTTTGACCTTTTTGCAGAATTTCCTTGTAGCAGCAAGAAAATCATTTGACATGTTCTTCCTACGTTACCCCTACTGCTATGGCTACTGGAAGAAGTATGCAGATCTTGAGAAAAAGCATGGAAATATACAGGTGGCAGAAGAGGTAAATGATTAAGTCCTTAAGTCACATGTCTAATCCAGATATGTGCATGCATGTGTGTGTGTGTGTGTGTGTTGTTGTTTTTTTTGCATAGTTTTGTATAAATATTTAACTGGTGACCAATAGGGTTGGGCATCAAGCATTGACTGGATCTGGGACTGTTGTGTTTCCATATCTAGCAGAATCCGCTACTGATCTCCAGAGGCAAACGATGTGATCTGCAGTTTCTGACCAACGCCTTTTAGAGCCGATCATATCACCTGTCTATTGCTTCTGTTCTTGCTGCCTGCTGAGACTCTTGACTGTGCAGCATTGCATTCTCCCTCCCTTCCCTCACACTGTGCAGGCGCACATCCACAAAGATATGTACAAACGTGTCTGCCGAACTTAATCCGTGATGAAAACTTTGCATCCTGCAGCAAAACATGTGGCACAGAGGAAGCTTGTTAAACACATTGAATTTACCACACTTTTTAAAGAACAAACTGGGTGGAGCAAGGTGAGTTTTCATGGCTCCCTGCCGAAATGAAAACACGGAGCATCAGTAGTCAAATGCAGCTACTCTCCACTAACATTTGTTTGTGTGAGTGTGACCGCCAGAAGGCTGAGCCAGTGACCTGTAAAATAATTCAACTTGTAATGCTAGATCAACCTTTCTCTGTGGTGGACGGCTGACATCTGGCCACTGAAAGCCGATACAGATAATATGATGATTATAATCGTTTAATAAAGCTCACAACACACAAAGTTGAGATTATTTTTTGCCTTTTTGAACTATTTCCTCAGAATTTAAATGTTTTAAGTCTGGTAGCAGTTGCATCTACAGTTCAGCTTCCCTTCTGACTGAATTGCTGCTGCAGCATGTAGGTGTAGCTTCTCACTCATCCTGGACTTGGTCATCCTGAGAGTTTTAACTGACAACTGCTGGACCTTTCTGGTTATCTTGAAGACGTTTTGCCTCTCATCCTGGAAGCTTCTTCAGTTCCCGTACTCGGGTTGTGATCAGAAACAAGCACAGTGATTGTGCTGCAAGTCTTTTTCTTTCTTTTTTGAAAACGTGTTTCTAAATCATAACGAGGTTATTGTCCATAGAAATGTTGAAGTTCAGATTATTCCATCAAGTAAAGACCCGTGGTTGGTTGGCTCGTTTAAAACATGAACATCTTTTGGACCCTGCCTCTTGAATTGGAATTGGGACTCGATAGGGACTGAAGTTGAAACGTGGAATTGGATTCTGAACCGGAATCGTTTAAATTCAAACGATGCCCAACCCTAGTGACCAAGTATACTTTTACCTTCACTAAGGACCGTGTTCTTGTGCTACTGTCAGCCTCCAGTTTGCATTCTGGTGCTTTACAGTGAATAAAAAGAGCCGTTTGACGAACATGTCAAGCCACTAATAAGGTTGTAAATTTCCCAGGTGTACAGACGAGGCCTTCAGGCCATTCCCCTCAGTGTGGATCTTTGGCTTCACTACCTCACCTTTATCAAAGAGAACTCCGATCTCACTGACCCAGAAACTGAGGGACGCATTCGAGCGTAAGCAAAGCAAAGCCCTTTCATGATCTGATAAAACACCGTAATCTTGGATATGCTTGAAAGATGCATTCAGCTAATACAAAGTTGTGTGTTTTGACCCCAGCTCCTACGAACACGCAGTGCTTGCAGCAGGAACGGACTTTCGCTCAGACCGCCTGTGGGAGGCCTTCATAACCTGGGAGACCGAACAGCAGAAGCTGGCTAATGTTACTGCTATCTATGATCGCATCCTGGGCATCCCAACACAGCTGTACTCGCAGCACTTTCAAAAGTACAAACTTTAACTACACCTCATGTCTTTCACCCTTTTCATTCACTGGAGTCTTTTGTACTTATTGTGAAATTTGTTTTACCTTTATAGGTTCAAGGACCACGTGCAGAACAACCACCCCAGATACTTCCTGTCTGAAGAGGAGTTTGTTCAGCTTAGGGTTGAGCTCTCTAAATCCAGTCTGTCTGCAATGGTTGGTGAAGATGGAGAACCGAGTGTTGCTCAAGAGGAGCTACCGCCTGGCACTGAGGATCTCGCAGATCCTGCTAAGGTATAAATCGGATTGCCTGTCCAATGATGTACACAAATCGGAACAATCCTGCTTGCAGAGTAGTTGAATCTGTGCCTGCTGTCCAAGTTAAAATGGACAAAACAATGTTGAGGTTTGTAGAAGTATCTCTGTGTCAGCAGCCAAGCCAGTAATCGTTAGTGGGATTCAACTTGGCAACCAGTTGGGGCCCCTCTAAAGGATCAACCAGGGCTTGAACCCAGCTCCTGTCCTCACACATTCCTCTTTCCTCCACAGGCTTCTTGGTGATGTACATTCTTGGTTGCAGGACTTGCAGATTTTACATCAAAAGAACGAAGGTGCTGAATTTGGGTTTTTGTGTTTTCTATGCAGAGAGTAACAGAGATCGAGAACATGCGCCACAAGGTCATTGAGAGTCGCCAGGAAGTGTTCAACCACAACGAGCATGAAGTCAGCAAGCGCTGGGCCTTTGAAGAAGGGGTACGTTTTGGTTTCTGTTGGTCAGCTCGCATTGAATCTGTTTTCTGCCTTGATTTGATTTTCTAATGAACGGCGTCCCTTTTAGATCAAGAGACCGTACTTCCACGTCAAAGCCTTGGAGAAGACGCAGCTGAACAACTGGAGAGAATATCTGGAATTTGAAATAGAAAACGGCACTCCGGAGCGTGTGGTTGTCCTATTTGAACGATGCCTCATCGCCTGTGCTCTCTACGAGGAGTTCTGGATCAAGGTAATGTGATCTCGAACAGCCCTCACAATGCTGCTGCCGCCCTGCACTTCCCCATCAACGATGATCGACACAGTAAAACGTCCTGCACTCTTTGCGTGTAACGTTGATATGTGACTGTATCTGTTGTATTAGGGGATGGCCAGCTTGCCACACAAGATTTGACTGCAGCATTTGCCAACTACTACGTTGCATCTTCTTCGTCTCCCCACTACCTTACAGAAACTTATCTAATTGGTTCCATGAAGGTGCTGATGGGTTTACACAGAAAATTTCAAGAACGATCTTGTCAATGAAGCAATTGACTGTCTGCGTCAGCTGAAACGATAGGTTTTAAATGTTTTGTCTCCTTTGCTTTTCTCTTTCCTTCATTTCTTTTTTCTCTGTCCTCTCCTGCATTTCTTCCTACTTGCTTTCTGTTTTTCTCTCTGAAGTATGCAAAATATCTAGAGGGCTTCAGCACCGATGGAGTGAGACATGTCTTCAAGAAGGCGTGCACCATCCACCTCCCCAAGAAACCCTCCATCCACGTGATGTGGGCGGCCTTTGAGGAGCAGCAAGGTGAGCGACTCGCTGAGACTAAAAGACTAAAAAGGAAGTAAGTTAAAGAAGGCAGACCTAAGTTATTCTGCCTGTTTTTCCAGGCAACATCGAAGAGGCTCAGAGGATCCTGAAATTCCTGGAAGAAGCGATCCCGGGTCTGGCTCTGGTGCGTCTTCGGAGGGTTAGTCTGGAGCGTCGCCGCGGGAACATGGAGGGAGCAGAAGCCTTGTTGAGGGAAGCGATGGAGTCCGCGAAGAGTTCTGTTGAGATATCGTTCTATGCTGTGAAGCTGGCTCGACATCTAATTAAAGTGCAGAGGAGTCTGAGCAAGGCGAAAAAGGTGCTGCTCGAGGCTATCGAGAAGGATCAGGTGAGAGTTGGCTGACGGATGCATGAAATTGTAAATGTACAACTAAGAATCTGTCAAATTCTGTGATATTGGGTTGATTTTTTTTTTTTATTTATTGTATATTTCTTTGCAATTACAGACAAGTTCAAAGCTGTATTTGAATCTACTGGAGCTGGAGTTTAGTGAAGGTGTCCAGCAGAACGAAGCGGAGATCTTGGCCTGTTTTGACCGAGCCTTGAGGAGCTCCATGCCCCTGGAATCCCGCATCACCTTTTCCCAGCGCAAGGTGGAATTTCTGGAAGACTTTGGCAGTGACATCAACGTGTAAGTTCCTTAATTTGTTAACAGACTGCAAATGTTGTATACGCGTTTAATATTTGGGTCACAATTGTGATCTTATTTCCTCAGGCTTGTGGCGGCATACGAGGAACAACAAAAGCTACAGAAAGAAAGCGAATCTTTGAAGAGGAAGGCTGAGAATGGTTATGACAGGTGTGTAGAGCCATCGCTCAGGTCACGCCAATCCACCAGTACCTGCGTAACACTCTGAAAGCAGGTTTTACTCAAGTATTTAACTACAAACTATGTGTAGGTTTTAAAGTAGCTAAAGCATTACCATTGGGGGGAGGGGCCCTAAATCATATTTGCTAATTTAAGCTTTCTTCTTTAGCTCTCAAGAAAGTGACGCCAAAAGACAGCGTGTGGACGACCCTTCAGCTGTTGCGGCAAACGCCATGACAGACATGCAGGCAAACAGCTCTGCGTACAACTACAACTGGTACCAGGTAGGGTTGTCTTCTAACCACATCCTTACGTTGTGTTTAACAAACTCACGATCACCAGAGCCATGAGGCATTAACTTACTTGCTTTGTTTTGTCTTTAGCAACAGTACGGTGGCTGGGGACAGAATTCCTGGGGACAGTACAACCAGTATGCCCAGTACAACCAATACTACCCTCCCCCTCCTACATGATGAGCAAGCTTTTTACATGAAGATGGAAGTGGGATCTTTTCTGACCTTAAATCTTGGAGCAAGCAAATTTATCAAGAGATTTCAGTTGAACTACGCTGTGGAGTTTTTCTAGTTCTACTTCCTGGCTTACAGTTGACGTGTTGCAGCATTCTTTTGTTAGATGATATTTGGCCTTCCATGGTAACGATGTTCATCTCATTTTGTGGAGGAACGTAACTGCTAAATTAATCATCTCTGCACTGTTTAAGTTGAAGGTTTTGTTTTTCCTATGCATGACATACGAGAGACCTACATTGGATTATTTTGACCTGTTTGTGTTTCCGTTTAAAGCTTGTAAGGAACACAGTTAATTGTTGTGGTCAAGTTTCCAAATGAACATTTTTAGTATTTCATGCTTGTTTCCATTGGGAGCAATGAAGAATCCCTTTTTTAATTTTGACTTGATTTCTTAATAAAGAGTGGTATCCTCATGTCTCGTTTTGTTTTATGTGGTTGGTTCAAAGTATCAGAAGTAAAAAGCTGGTGAGCTAACACACACACACACACACCTTGACAAAAAATTGATGTAATCTTGAGTCATAATGTAGCTGCTTCTAAATTACTAAAGCATTCACCACAGATGTAAAGAAAACAAGTTTTAGACGAAGTCAAATAGAAAAATAATCGAACATGAAAGTCTGCTGGAGCTAGCACACAGGGTATGATGTAGTCAATACGTAATACGTGATTAAAGAGTTTGTTTCCCTCCTAAAGCAGGGGATAGATTAGGCGTAATCAGTGTGTGAATGGATGAGTGACACACAGTAGTGTAAAGCGCTTTGGAGTCCTTACTCTGAGAGGCGCTATACAAGCGCGGGTCATTTATCATTTATTAAAAAGCGTCAAGTCGTCACCATCACTTCCGCCGAGCGTTACGCAAATCTGCACATGCGCAGTGTCGCTCCGCAGACGGTCCTTTTTATGCTTAGCGTGGAACGACTAGCATCAAACGAGGTAGGAACCGTATAGTTTTAGTCAAAAATCATCATTAAACCAACCTCAAGACAGTCTAAGTTTTCAAATACACTACTTTTATCTTTAGGCTGTATGTGATGTGTTTAAACATTCGACTTAATAGTGTATTTTAAGTATTTTGTGCGGTTTTTCTTAAAACGCATGTCCTCATGAGGCTAGTTGAGCTAGCGTTGAGTATACCGGGAACTCGTCCACCCTCTGCTTCCTTGTGTTTGAGGCTTTTTAACATCTACCTAACGTCTGGTTTGGATTTGTTTATGAGTCTAATGTTAAATGTTTGTATTTTAAAAGATTATGAAACAAAACCATCGAATTTCCGCAGCTAACGACAGCGGCAGACATCTTGGTTTGTGTAGGAAAGCTGTAGCTAATTCTGAGAGAAGAACGCACATTGATGTGGAGGTTGTGTGAAGCCTGTGGTTGTGTGTCAGCTCATCTACCTGTCTAACATCTGGGTATTTTATCTAAGCCGTCCTTTTGCACCTGTTAGCAGCAGCAGAGCTAACTGAAAACGTTTCCTTGCAGCCTCAGGATGCAGCTCTTTTTGCGTGCCCAGAATACTCACACCCTTGAGGTGACCGGACAGGAGACTGTTGGCCAGATTAAGGTAGGATGCTGGCCTCTGTTATATTATTTCCAACACACTCTGCTGTTATAATCATTTTAAGATGCTCAAAGCAGGAATTGCTCTAATAATATCTGGGTTTTGGTGTTTTCCAGGCCCATGTCCAGACTCTGGAAGGACTCCATGTGGAGGATCAGGTCCTGCTGCTTGCTGGGTGCCCACTGGAGGACAACGCCTCCCTGGCATCTTGTGGTGTGTCCGAGCATTGTACCCTGGAGGTTGCCGGCAGGCTGCTTGGAGGTTAGTACATAGATGCAAAGTGAATGTATACATGTGAGAGTATGCCATTAGCAAACGTGACAAATAGATAATGAATCAAACTCAAGTTTGTAGGTTATCAGTTTGACAAGGTAGTGAGTGGTACACTGCTGATTGTACATATAAACAGCATCATATGAATAGTTATTTATGTTTGAAGACCTATAGTTAAATCATGCTCTCTTTCAGGTAAGGTGCACGGTTCACTTGCCCGTGCTGGAAAAGTGAGAGGCCAGACTCCCAAAGTAAGGAATTTTACATCTTTAACTCCATTAAAGCATTTATAGTTATGGAATTGTCCAAAATGGGTGTATAAAGAAACATTTAGTTGTTTTCCCTCACAGTTTGAGTCAGTTATTAAAAATGTAATTTATAAAAAGTCATTAACTGGTACAATCCTAAATATCTGCGTTTTTTTTCCATCCAGGTCGACAAACAGGAGAAGAAAAAAAAGAAGACTGGCCGTGCCAAGCGCCGTATCCAGTACAACAGGCGCTTCGTGAATGTCGTGCCCACCTTCGGAAAGAAGAAGGGTCCAAATGCAAACTCCTAATCAGCAACCCGGAGGAGAAACAACGCCATCTGTCATCTTTTACCAAGTTAATGTTTATTTCTGTACAGAATAAAGAAGTTTAACTTGGCTTCAACGCGTTGTGTCGTGGTACTAGATTATAATAAATGTAGAAAAGCTTGGTGCTTTTATTTCATAGCATCTTTAATGTACAAGTTCAATGAAACAGCTAAATGTGAAAATTAAAATGAAGTAATTAAGTCTTTTGTACAAACTAAGAACTTTATTTTGTACACGGAAACATTACAATCATTCTGGTTTAAACAAATGACATGTGACTAGATAAAGGCAAAGTGGACTGTTTTAGTGCAGTCCAAACGACATTTCAACATAGGGATCCAAAAGCTGCATATGGAGAGCAATGCTGGTGGACTGTTTAATCCACAGACACCAGCTCAACCTCAAAAATCAGCTTTGCATTAGGAGGGATTCTGGTGGAGCTGGAATTAAGGAAAATGTGTTAACAGGAAGTCAAACTATAACCTTCACAAAAATATAATTTACCACAGTCAAGATGTTCAATATTATCCAGCACCTTAAACTAGAGAAAAAAACACCTAAACGTAAATAACTCATGACTATTATGATCAAAACCCTATTTCCTGCTTATTTTAAAGAGTTAAAGTACTTTCCAGTACCACAAAAATTCTACAAGATTAAGGAAACTAGCCCAGTAAAATGAAACCTGTTTTATCGTGATGCCAAAGAGAAGGATACTTGGAGTCAGGGAGGCCTTTCTTCCCGTACGCCCACTCCGCTTCAATCTCCAGCCGGGCCGTTTCCCCTTTGCTCATAGTCAGAAGGCCTTCATCCCACTGGAGTGACGGCAGGAATTAAGAGTCTAACATTGTGGAAATTGTGAACATGCACATGAAGGATAAAAAAAAAAAAAAACCTACTCCTCGGATGACTTTGCCCATGCCTACTTTGAAGCTCAGAGGTTTAGCCTGCTTCTTCTTTCTCGCCACTAAAGATGAAGACGGACTGAGTTTTATCCGTAAACATGAAAGATGCTGGTCTGAAGTTCCAAACCCGTATTTCTGTCATCATACCTGAGGGTATATTCGTGTCAAACACCGTTCCATCTTCTAGAGTACCAGTGTACCAGCAGCTCACAGTGTCACCCTTCTTAGGAAAGTTTGTCTTGTCGCCTTTCTTTAGGATGGATTTGGTGTACTTTGGAGGACCCTAAAACAAGCAGAATCACCTCAGCCTCCGTTATCCTTACGCAGCAGTGTATTGCTGATGAAATTATGAAGAAACGTAGTGGATGGGAGTCATAACATCTTCAAGATAAAGACTAAATTTGTTGTGCATAAACCAGAAAAATCACCTCATCCACCACTTCTGCCTTCACTTCTTTGGGCTTTTCTTCTATTTTCACTGCTTTCACCTGCTCGGTCAGCTCCTCTGGTTCTGTGCCTTTAAATCTCTGCAAAATAAAACTTACAGCATTCACGTTTATCATGTTTATAGATGACACAGCATCTGATATTCAGGTCTCCTCAGCATCACTCACTTTACTCTCAAACAGCTGGTTGTACGCTGTCACGAGCTGCTCTTTCTTTGCTGTTTTGGCCACATTTTTAATATTTCCCAGCAGCTTGTGCTCATTGAGGAACTGGAAGACAAACACGCGGCCAGAATGGGAGCGTTAGCACGTTTTTGATGCTGCAGTATTG